AAAAAAACACCGACTTTCTCCTAATCATCGCAGTCTCCAGATCATCGTTTGTCTCCCACTCGTTGTCGGCTCCCACTCATCGTCGTCTCTAGGTCGTCGTCGGCTCCCTCTCATCATCGTCTCCAGCTCGTCGTCGGCCGATCCTATTCGTCGTCGAGACTCGTTGAGTGCCGATCCAGTTTGTCGTCGTCGAGCACCACCACTGCACTGCCCCAGCGTCGTCATCGCCCCAGTGTATCCCCATCGTCGCCCCAGTGCCGCCCCATCGTCGCCTCTTTTTCCTCTAAGGATAAGGTCAGTAATTTACCTGACTTTGATGGCAACTAGAAGTACAAAATAATGAGGATCTCACAGGAGAAACTGTGATCAAGTTTTCTGGTTTAGATGTTGATGGCCACAACAAGTATTGTTCAATTAATGCTTAATTTGATAGAATTTCCCTCTTTTGTTGCTGTGACGAATAAAGATTCATACATGTTTATAATTCTGGCTCATGTGTCGTCAGGACTTTTTCGCAAAATCCGTCGAGGACTGAATTAGATTCTCATTCCTCCAACTTTAGTAGAAAAAAGACTTTGCCGCTATTGAGGCTTCCTTCCTCTTGTACTTATTGTTATGCATACATAAATGGCTGTAGACTGGATTCACCCTAGGTTTCAGAATGCTTCAATCAATGAGTATTGTATTTGTGGTGAATTTGATAATGCACAAGACCTGTTTGATTTTATGCTTGTTAGAGATTTGATCTCTTGAACTGCTTTGATTTTGGGGTTTGTTCAAAGTGGGTTATCGGTGACTGGTGGAGCTGAATATTGTAATGATATTATATGTTTCGATCTTAAAAATATTGCTCTAAACCTCACTAGAATGATGAACTCTTGCAGTAGAGGATGCTCAACTTTTTAGCGCGATGATTGGTCTTTGAAAACAGGAACAAAAACATCTGATCACATGTTAGCTTTTATTATTTGGTTTTATTTTCTCCAAGCCTATGCTCCTCTAGCGCACCAATTGCGTAATTATTCTTCAATTTTATATGTGAGCTCTGAAATTGAAGATTATTAACTATGTTACAGAGTGCACAACTTGTAGTCTTATTATGCACTTTCTTCTCTATTAAATGATAAATAGTTGTTTTTTCTGTTATATTACTTACCCCTCATGACAATGGAATTGAGTTCAGAGCCATGATTTTTTTGGAAACTATGTTTGCAGTATGTGCTTTATCATAATGCACTAAGCTTGGACTCGCACAATGCTATTTGAAATGTCTTTACCGATTACCGTTTGAAATCGGACTAGCATGTGAATTATTAAACCCGTCTCACATATAACGTTGTGCTAAGAAAATCGCCTTTCTTAGACTTGATGCTATGATTTTTAATACATAGACTTAACCATTTCTTATAGGGAAAAGGCACCCTGCACCGCGTATTAGGCGATGACTTATCCCTTCTTAGGCTTCGGGATAAAATTCCCCAGACTGGAATTCTGGTGTTTTCTTCAATCGGTGAAAGACTAAACCGGCAACGCGTGTTAGGCACTGGCTTATCCCTTCTTAGGCTTCGGGATGAATTTCCCCGTGCACCAAGTGCCCGGATTGGAAGTTGAGAATTGTGTCTTTTTTAAGAGTAAAGACAGACTAGGAAATGAGAGAGGAACAATTTTATATTCTATCTCCCGGTGCTGAAGAGGAAGAATTTTATATTCTATCTACAGCTGGAAAGGAAACTCGAGGTGGGATCTCCACCCCCAGAATCCGGAAGGATGAAACTAAGAGTGGGATCTCCACTCTGAGAATCGGAGAGGTTCGAACGACCCTAACTTTTATAGGATTGGTCATTTGAACCCAAAGAATCCCTCATTCATTGAGGAGAAAAACCCAATTTCAACCCTAACTTTTATAGGTTTGGTGGAAAAGGAGACAAAGGTCGATTTTCGTTTATCGAAAAGGAATGACTCGGTCTTAGTCTTAACTATTTGTAGGCTTGACTAAGTGAGATCGGGAACAATCCTAACTTTTATAGGTTTGATTGTTCAAATTGAAAGTGGACCTCTCGTTCATGGAAGGAATCGAGAGAGGAATTTGGCTTTGGCCCTAACTTTTATAGGTTTGACCTGAAAGCAAAGAAAGTGGAATACAGGTAGCAAAGAAAGTGCCAACTCGTATTATCACTCAAAGGAAGACTTTAATGCTAGGTGATTAGGACCTAACATGTTGAGTCTGAGAAATGCCAACGACGGGCAGATGGAAATGTTGGTGGATCCACCGTCGTTTAATTTGATCAGCGGATGGTTTGGTGAGGAAAGATTAACCTATCAGAGGATTGGATCTCATCTCACAAAAAATAACTCATAAGAGTTAGAGAATCTCTCTTTGCATTTCATATGTGAACATATGCTCTCTCTTTGCATTTCATATGTGAACATATGCTCTCTCTCTTTGCATTTCATATGTGAACATATGCTCTCTCTCTTTGCATTTCATATGTGAACATATGCTCTCTCTCTTTGCATTTCATATGTGAACATATGCTCTCTCTCTTTGCATTTCATATGTGAACATATGCTCTCTCTCTTTGCATTTCATATGTGAACATATTCAATAGGACTATTCTGAACAGTTCTTCAGAAACCAGTTAAGAAAATCACTAGTTACACTTCTATGACAAGTAAAATGACTGTTTCTCAGTTGGAGCATATGCTTCACACTTAAGTGCAGTTTGTAATCACACCTTGATCTTCTAGCCTGCACTTCTTTAGAATTATTTCACTTGATTGTTAGCAGTTCAACTTTTTATTATATTTTAATATAAATGTAGGCTGGTTAAAGATAGGCCAAGGGATCCTGCAAAGTGGGGTGAGATTGTTGATGTTGTAGCATCATTATCAATTCTGTTAATGGTGATGTTTATGATTATGAAGATTTTGAACACATCAAAGGTGCTACAGGTATGTAGAATGTTTATCAAGCTGTCTATGCATATGTTTTAGTTTTAGTTCTACTATTGTGTCGGCCACGTGTTGGAACAGTGTTATTTGTTCCCTTAGAATGTATAATTCGTATCCCTCGAAAAGTACCCATGACTGAATTCTAATCTAATGAAGTACCCGATAAAACTCTTATACACAAGTCATTGCAGCCTGGAAGTATATAAGGTTTTGTTGTGGATGAGGCAAAATACTGCTATAAGGTCTAAAGTAGAACTTTGATCATTGATGACCAACAAGCTCAATGGACCACTTAAACCCGTGGATTTAATGAACACAACACTAGTGGTGAAGCTTTATTCTGATTCCTAAAGATTGCAATGTTGTGAATTGAGCGAGCCAAGTTGGTATGCACATGCAATTCAGGTATGCACATGCAGACACATAAGTTCCCATGTTTTTGTGGAAGTACATATCTCATGCCTGTGTCACATTACTCACTTATCATGTCATTTTCTGTCTCCTGTAGCTAACCATAGTTGAGCTAGATGTTTGTTTAGTCATAATCAACTTTCGTGATAGAACTAACATAATCTTGAAGAAATCTTGTATCCAAATTCTGAAATGAGCTAGAATGAAGTCTTTGTTGAGTGAAAAGACATGTCAAGTATAACGACAGATTTGAGCCTCATTTCTAAGAGGTTTGTTTGTTTGAATGCTTATCCAACATCTTATATTCTTTTATGATTGACTACTTGCAGTAGAGAAAATGCGATTTTTACTTAATAAGATAATATTTGTTTAATTGATATTTCTTAATTATGTGAATTTTTTAATTTTTCAGGCTTTCCCATGCAAGTTAGGAAGGGGAGGGGGGTAGCTCGAGTGATCTTTTGACGATGATTAGAGATGAAAGGATGTGTCTTTTCCAGACTTTTATTTTAATTTGTTTTAGATAGTTTCACGTATTTTTCTTTGGAACAATTGGGATATTAACTCTTGTTATTAGTATTGAATATTTAAAGATGGTGGAATTTTATTTATTGATGTTATTAATGAATGGAGTTTTTGTTTTTCTTTTTATTCATTATTGGGTATTTTTATTATATTTGTGTTGTGACTCTTAGTGTCATGTTGAGAATTATATGATAGTTGCCTATGAATGGAAAGATTGTCATTAAAGTATATTAAAAATTTATAGTCTATAATGACGGTTTTATAAATTGTATTTTGTTCATAAACGAAGGAAAAGCACCATCGTTGATGGGTTACTAATTACCCACCATAAGGACTTTTACGACGGTATCCAACCGTTATTAATTGGTCTTCAACGACGAAAAATATCCCGTAACTAATGGTAACGACGGGAAAATATCCCAGTCACTGATGGTAACGACAGGAAAATATCCCGTCACTGATGGTAACGACGGGAAAATATCCCCGTCACTGATGGTAACGACGGGAAAATATCCCGTCACTGATGGTAACGACGGAAAAATATCCTCGTTACTGATAGTAACGACGGTGATAATTACCGTCGTAAATATTAATGATGGTAATATGTTCCGTCGTTATAGAATCTATAACGACGGGTAGTATATCCCTTTGTGACCCTTTAGCGAAGAGGGCTTCAACGACGGGTGACGAAGGGATTTTTCCCCGTCGTTAGCATACAATAACGAAGGTTTTCAGCTCTTTAACGAAGGGAAATCCCTTCGTTAAAGATGTAATTTCTTGTAGTGATAAATATGTATCACTCCCTAAATTATAAGAACGGTTCATAAATCTAGACCGTTGTAGCTTATTATACAATTAAAAATATATTATATATAGTAAAAAAAATAAATTAAGATCAAACAAATTAAAGATCTCTTGTGTAATAATCACGAAGAGGAGCCAAATATCACATGCACCGCGCATGCACCCACATCCTACGGCTAGAACCAAGGAACCCACAAGAGAAGCCACTTATTAGATCTCAACTAATTAATCAGCCCACATGTACCGTTAAATCTCTTTGCCTATATAAACCCCTCAAGAAAAACAAATTAAGCATACAAAAAAATAAACAAATAAATAAAAATCAGATCTCAATCATGAAACGATCCGTGTTCAAACCTACCCTCTCCCTTCTCATCACCGCCCTCCACTTCTCCTTCTCAATCGCTGCAAGGCCCACAACACCAAACAGCTTCATCATCGCCTCCTGCAAGCCCACCAGCTACCCAGCAGTCTGCATCGAGAGCCTCTCAGGCTATGCTCCGGCCATCCGCCGCAGCCCTCGCTTGCTGACGCGTGCTGCCCTCCTCTTGAGCGCCACCCGCGCTCGCGAGACGTTTGCCTACATCTCCACCCTTTCTTCCCGGCCTCCACACGGTGCCTCCGTTCACGTAAATATAGTATTAATTAATTTTTCTTCAGAATATGTGTTTACATTGGCATGTGTTCAAATGACCGTTAGAACCGTTAGATCCGATTGTACACATTCACATGTGTTCAAATGACCCGAATGCCCTGATCAAGAAACCCCTTTCATATTCATTTTATAGGTAATTTTAACAAAATCCGCTATGTTTGGTCATTTTTTATGACTAATTAAACTCGATTAATGATTAACTTAATTTAATAATTAGAGTGTTAATTTGGAAAGGGTATATATTTTGATCTTCCTGTAGTTCTTTTAACACCATTGAGGCGGTTAGTTACATTTGGAGGGTTTTCTAAAACACCTAGACTTAAGACGTTCAAGTAGCATTTTTAACCTTCAAGGGAAGTATCTCAAAATAAGCCAAACCTAAAATGCGTAATTTACCCTTTTTCTTTCTTATACCTTTATCGTAGTTACTCAAGGACTAATTGCCTATACATCTCGTGTAGTACAATGGTGCAGTCACTTGAACCCCCTAAACTATTTTAATTTATTACCACTTGTATGTCTTAAATCTCTACTGATCTTTTGCCCTTAATTAAGAGGAAATTTAAATCTTTTTTAGTTAGATTGATGACACAAAGGGAAATTCTCATCTAATTTCTCAACTAGAAAAACAAGCCATCCCAAGGTCAGATGTGCAAGAATCAATCCAAACTATAGTTATCAGATAAAGTGGTTGTATCCTTGTGGCACAAACGGTGTATCTACAATTAATCCTTATTGCGGTTATCTTTCCTTGAAGAGGTTTTCTTCATAAGATTTTCCACCAAAAATTTTATACTCAAACTACCATTTTCAATGGTATAGAAGAGATATCCTTGATTGGGATCTGTTTAATGATTAGTGGTCAGCTCAAGATGAATTATAAGTTAATTGAGGATGCTGATTTTAGAAATTAATTTAATGATTATGGTTCAATTAAGATGGACATTCATTTGAAGTATACTTCAAATTTAAATTAAGGTTAAGAAATTTCTGGGAGGAAACTTTGTTATACACTTAATTTGCCCAAGCTGAACTGTTATTTTTTTCTTAATAATAAATTGACAATAAATTTCAAAAAAAATAATAATAGTAAATAATACATCAACAATAACGGCAGAAATCTTTTTTCCAGTCTGCTCCTGGAGCATTGCAGGATTGCAGCACGACCATGTCCGATAGCGCTGACAACTTGCAGCGATCCATGCAGCAGCTTCGTCATTTAGGCCGACCTAACGGGCCATCTTTCACCATGAGACTCGAGAACGTGCAGACATGGCTTAGCGCTGCACTTACTGACCAAAGCATGTGCCTTATGAGCTTGTTGCAGGAAGAAAGTTTAGCTACTGAGAATGGAAGGAGAGGAGCCAACAACAGGCTGCATTGGGTTACAAGGAAGAAAGTTGTGGAGGTGAGCAGAGTTACAAGTAATGCACTTGCACTTGTTAACGAGCTTGCGTGGTGAAGAGGGAATCCGCTTTCTATCAAAACTATCTGCATGTAACGGGTGGCCATGAGCCTTTCAATAGACAAAATATAAAGGCAAAAGGGGAAACTTGCCCCTGTTGCGTGGCTCAGAATCTCCCACAGTGTACTAGTGGTTTTTGATAAAATGTATAGTGGTGAATGTTGTGCGCGGCGGAAGCTCGAAACCACACGAACAAGAACGAGATAAATCACAACCAATAAGCCAAACCCAATATCATAGCAAGACAAACGAATTTTACGTGGTTCGGCAAGTTGCCTACATCCACGGGGCAAGGAGGGGGTAGTTCTTATTATTAGAAATTAAGAGAATATAAATAGGGTTACAAATCTCAACAAATAAACCCTAAAACAAAGTCTCTAGATCTCTTACAACTCTCCCACAATTAGATGCAGCAATCCCCTCTTCAAAGACTGCTCAAAATGACCTTGCTTTACCCTAATTAATTAGGATTAAACTTATATATCAACTCAAAAACGAACCGGGTTAAAACCTGTAACCCAACTTAGAACCGCTAAGCGGTCGACCATACCCTCACGATAGAAAGCAAAAACGCCTACAGGGTCCTCACGGTCGACCGCGACGATCGACCGAATCTCATGCCGAGACCAAAATCCATTACAGGGTCCATACGGTCGACCGCCTCACATCCAGAAATCCTCTTGAACCTCGCGCACATTTCCGGTCGACCGCAGCGGAATCGCGGTCGACCGGCCAACTCCTTAGCAGTTTTCCTGTCTATTTCCTAGGCTGTTCTTCACCATGTTCGCCAATTCTTCAAATCTCCACCTCGGTGAAGTTTCTTCCAAAACCGAGCTGACACCAAAAACATCCAAATGTCTCACTTGTTACGTCCAGGACGAAATGAAAAACAACTCACTTCAACGGACTCAATCCACAACAAGTCGGAAACCTAAACAAGAGCTCAAACACTCTCCCTCCCCATCGAAATCAACAAATCCAACCAGCTGCATCAAACAAGACTGCCTACGTATCCTCTTGCCCAAGAAATCAAGCCGAACGTAGTTCATCCAAATGGCCTCCAAAGGCCCTCAATACTGAATAATGTTGAATAGCTTCAAACAATGACCAAATTTCACATCTGAAACAACTTTGGTCAACATATCCGCAGGGTTGTCCTTCGTGTGAATCTTCTCCAATATGACCCGTCTTTATCATACAATACGTCATGACAAAATGGAATCTGACATCAATGTGCTTCGTGCGTGCGTGATAAACCTGGTTCTTCGCCAAATAGATAGCTGACATGCTATCACAATATACCCGAAGGGTCTCCTGTGCAATCCCCAAGTCCTCCAACAGTCCAAGCAACCACAAAGCCTCCTTAACAGCTTTAGTCACCTCCATATACTCCACCTATGTAGTAGAGAGAGCCACTGTAGACTGAAATGTACACCTCTAATATACCGGTGCTCATGCCAATGTAAACACATATCCTGAAGTAGACCGGTGATTGTTAAGATCCCCCGCATAGTTTGAATCTACGTAACAAATACAATCTTGCCCATTCTTCTCATTCTTCTAAAAAATCAATCCAACATCCATTGTGCCTTTAACATACCGTAGAATCTACTTCACGGCCTCCTAATGACCCTTCCCAGGGTCGTGCATGTACCTCAATACCATGCTCACGGCCTGTGACAAATCTGGCCTCGTACACACCATCGCATACATCAAGCTACCCACTGCACTGGCATATGGAACCTTCGACACGTAATCTCTATCCTCAACAGAAACATGTGATATATTAGCTAAAAGCTTGAAGTGGAGAGCCAATGGAGTGCTAACTACTTTTGCATTGCCATCAAAGTTGAATTTCTTCAACATCTTCTGCAAGTAACTCCTCTGTGTAAGCTTCAATCTCCCCTTCATCCTATCTCTGTCGATCTTCATACCCAATATCTTCTTTGCTTCTCTAAGATTTTTTATCTCGAACTCAGATGACAGCTCCTCTTTTAACTTTTGAATAGCTGAAGAATTCCTGGAAGCAATAAGCATATCGTCAACATATAAAAGCAAATATATGTGCTCACCATCCTGTAGCTTGTGCATGTAAACACATGGGTCATATAATGTGCTCACCATCCTGTAGCTTGTGCATGTAAACACATGGGTCATATGGGCTCCTCGTGTACCCATGGGCAATCATAAAGTTTTCGAATCTCTTGTACCACTGTCGTGATGATTAATTTAAACTATAAAGAGACTTCTTCAGCTTGCAAACCAAATCTTTTTTTCCTACAGCTTTGAATCCCAAGGGTTGTGTCATGTAGATCTCCTTATCTAAATCTCCGTGTAGAAAGGCTATCTTCACATCCATCTGGACCAAATCCAAATCCAGTTATACTACCAATGCTAATAAAATCTGAATCGATGAATGCTTCACAACGGCTAAAAATACCTCGTTGTAATCAACACCCTCAAGCTGTGCATATCTCTTAGCAACCAATCTCGCTTTGTACCTAATGTCCCCAATAGAAGATCCCTCGTTCTTCGTATATACCCACTTACAACCAATAGCTTTCTTACCCTTAGGTAGCTTTGCAAGTTCTCATGTGTCGTTCTTCTGAAGAGACCGCATCTCCTCATCCATAGCTTCCCTCCACCTGATCGAATTGGGGCTAGGCTCTTCCTCCCTGAATGTGGATGGAACCATATCATCAACGACATCCACTGATAATGCATATGTGACCATGATATTATTATACCTAGCTGGCTGACAAATCACCCTTCTAGGTCTATTCGCTGTAATAGACTCCTGAATATGACCATACTCCTGATTTTCACAATCCACTATATCCTCTATCTGCCCGGCTATCATCTCATCTCCTCTCAGTGTCATCTCTATAGGAGCCTTAATGGATACAATGCAATCTAGAGTGGGTGGAGTCACATCATCCTCCACCTGCTGTGATATCTCTCGAATCTCGTCTTCCTCCACCTGCCGAGGAACTTAAGGCCTCATCATGTACACCTCATCAAATGTGGCATCCCTATTAATAACTATCTTCTTGTCATGTGGATCCCATAACTTGAAGCCTTTAACTCAATCTCTAAATCCCACAAAGACTGCCTCCCTCGCCCTCGGATTTAATTTATCATTACTAATATGATAATAAGTAGGACACCCAAATATCCGAAGCGACTCATAGTCACTAGCTACTGAACCAGACTAATGCTCCAAAGGAGTCTTCCCCTGTATCATAGTGCATGAAAACCTATTAACGAGATGGCTCACATAAACCAACGCCTTGGCCCAAAAGAATCTAGGCAATCTACTCTGCGTCATCATACATCGCACCTTCTCTAGCAATATACGACTCAATCTCTCAGTCATCCCGTTCTGTTGCGGTATCTCACGAATTATGAAGTATGGCCTAATGCCGTGATCCGGTAAAACGGTAGAAACAGATCACTCTTATACTCTCCACCGTTATCTAAATGTAGAATCTTCACCTTTCTACCTATCTACAGCTCTACTTTCTTCTTCCACTCCATAAAAATATCTAGGATCTCATGTTTATGCTTCATAGGGTATACCCAATTCCTCCTAGAATAGTCATAAATGAAAGTGATTAAATAGTTGGTCCCACCAAGTGATGTGTTCTTGGAAGGGCCCCAAACATCTGTATGAACGTAATCTAATATACCTTGGGTGTTGTGAATAGAGGTACCAAACTTTACTCTAGTCTTCTTCCCAAGTACACAATGCTCACACTGCTCCATCTTGCAGGTTTTAGCACCTTTTAATAGCCCCTGTTTCACTAATAATTGCAGGGACTTATCACCTGTGTGTAAAATAGGATTTTATTATTTTGGTTCTTTAACTTTTGTGTTTTTGTGAAAGAACTACTTGGAGATTAAAGACCAAAGAATTGGAGATTGAGGAATTGGAGATTCGCTTGTGGTAAGTCTTCTTTCTAATATTTTTAATTCCACACCTTTAGTTAGTTTCTCACAATTAGGATTAAAAAAAAGATTTTATTTTTGTTGACCATAATAAAATCCACCTTTCACTTGGACATTAACTAACAATATAATAAAAAGATTTTATTTTTGTTGACCATAATAAAATCCACCTTTCACTTGGACATTAACTAACAATATAATAAATTCAAACAAGAGCTCTCTTCTCACATTTGAGTGTTGTTAACCATAATTAAAAAAAAAGATTTTTCTTTTCCATCCTTTTTAGTCGCTTTTATTTCTAGGGTTGCATTTCATATAGTGTAGGAATTCACCAAAGTGATAGTAGCACTTGATTTGGCACACACTTAAAACATTCTTAAGGGCAAAACCCCAATCAAGATAAGGTAAGGGATTTCATCACCCTTTCCTTAGCCCAAAATCACTAATTCCTCACTACACAACCCAAGCCTAATAAAACTCATTAGACGTTGGCCCTAAGGAATCGAGCTCAATAAGGAACAAGAAATCCTTAAGTGAACCGGTTTAAGTTTTCTCAGATCTGTTGGTGTCTAAGGCAAGGTTTAGGGGTTGCGTAATACGCTCCGCAAGGAACGGGGTACTTAATTGATCACTGATCACCCTCTAGTACTATCCTTACCTGGCTAACTACCTGGGTAAAACTTTAATCTTTTCACTGTAGGAGTTTTTGGTTAGGAGCTGGTCTAGTGAATTAGGCTAAACCCTAGAATTAGAGTGATTGAAAAGTGATTGCATTGATTTGTTTTAGTTAGGATTTTTCTTTTTCTTTATCTCTCATATTTTAAAAAACTAATTTCTTTCCTAAAAAAAACCTAATTTCTTCTAAAAAATAATTTTATTTTCCTTCCTTAAAAATAAAAAAAATTCTGGGATAATTTTGCCTTCTTTTATGCTAAAAAAAAAGACTTTAAAAAAATAAGTAGATTTGTTTTTAATTAGGTTTCCTTTCTCTTTGATAAAAAAACTATTTTTTTTTTCTTTTCAAATATATATATATATATATATTATATATATATATATATATATATATATATATATATATATTATTATATATAGTATAATATAATATATTTATATTATATATATAAGTATATATATATATAATATATATATATATAATTTATATATTAGTATATATATATATACATAATTTCTATTTTGTTTTCACATATAAAAAATGAGAATATTTTGAATAGTTTAAATAATAATAAGTACATATATAGATAT